TGGTCAGCTCTCTGTAACTAATATTTGTCTATAAATGTCACCTCTCTGTAATTAATACCTGTCTATAAAGGTCACCTCTCTCTAACAAATATCTGTCAATAATGGTCAGCTCTCTGTAACTAATATATGTCTATAATGGTAACCTCTCTGTAACTAATATTTGTCTATAATGGTCACCTCTTTGTAATTAATACCTGTCTATAAAGGTCACCTCTCTGTAACTTATCTTGTCTATAAAGTTCACATCTCAGTAACTAATGTCTGTCGATAAATTCCACCTATATTTAACTAACACCTGTCTATAAAGGTCAATTCTCTATAAAATAATACCTTTGTACGATGGTCACCTCTATATAACAAATACCTGTCTATAATGGTAAGATTTATAAAACTCAATATTTGTTTATAAAGGTCACAGATTTTGGGACCATAGGTAATGCAAACAATAGAGACTAAAACTCTATATTAAGGCTACCAGCCAATAAAAAAACACATTTTCTATGCTCCCTCAAGAGGCATTTACATAAAGGGTTGTCTGTATGGTTTAAACACCATTTGTAACGTATTTAAAATTACAAATTGGAACTTATAACTGCTGTTAGTTTGTTTTGCAGTACAACGCATGTGATTTCATAACTTCTGTAGGAAATAAATATTTTGGGAGTGCATAATTTTTGTGGATTTAAAAATTTTAAAAAAGTAAAAGAAGAAAAACAAATTTGCGAGGACTTGATTTTGTGGATAAATATGGATCAATGAATGTTGTAATTGTTATTTTAACAGTTAATCCACATCTGAATTTGTGGATTAAAGGACCATGGAATCCAGAACCTTCAATATGGTGTTAGGTCATGTGCTTGACCAGAATATTTTATTTCCTGTCACCTTTAGATATTAAGACTTCGTGCACACTTTGATATATAAGTTGTATGAGCATTATGCTGTTTACAAACTTTGATATATTTCACTCTATACTCTTCTTTCTGAGATTCGTGAGTTCATTGTTATTTTCATGTTTATTTTAAACTAATGCCATTATAGCAAAAACAGTAGCTCTACTGAGTTAGTTACCAGTTCAAAAACACAATTACAAATAGGAATTCTTGTATCTTGTCATTGAATCTGGCCCAATCTGGTCTCATAATCATTGTCTAATAAATAATGTCTATTTTTGGTCAGTTTATAACAAAAAAGGTCAGGTTCATAACAGTTCATACATAGAAAGCATCAAAACCAAAGGAGCATGAAAATAGTGAATATCAAACACTAAGTCAAAGGTGGACATTTAGTGGACAAAGAAAAAACATTCATTTTATGGTTTATCACAAGAAATTAACCTATAAACATACAGGTAAGTAGTGTTGTAAGTAAACAAACATACAGGTAAGTAGTATTGTAAATAAACAAACAGACGGATAAGTAGTATTGTAAGTAAACAAACAGACAGGTAAGTAGTATTGTAAGTAAACAAACAGACAGGTAAGTAGTATTGTAAGTAAACAAACAGGTAAGTAGTATTGTAAGTAAACAAACAGACAGGTAAGTAGTATAGTACGTTGATAAACAGATAGGTAAGTAGTATTGTAAGTAAATAAACAGACAGGTAAGTAGTATAGTACGTTGATAAACAGATAGGTAAGTAGTATTGTAAGTAAATAAACAGACAGGTAAGTAGTATTGTAAGTATGTTGTTCCATGATGAGGGAGTTATTTCCCTTGCATTAATATTTTACACATCAATATCCCTTGCATGTTTTTTAATTAATGATTAAACTGAACATGGAAAGTAAGTGTTGATTATCAAATGTTTTTTTCAAAACATATTTTAGAAAACCCATGTCACTAAGAGCAGTCTCGTTAAAAATATGTCGAGCATACTTTTTGAGTGTGCATGGATTTATCAATATTGGCAAAGGAAGAACAGGCGACCATTACAACTACTCAAAAGGATTAACTAAGATTATAACAGCACATTAAAAGACCATATGTTTATATTTCTGCAGAATTGAATAACATGCAGATGTAAAGCTAAGGTCTTATTTCCAGATAAATAGAGTTCTTCCATTGTCATCTTCCAGAATTTTACTGATCACATAAAATGTAAGGTGGTTCATAATTCATTTTTACACATTACACAATACACAAGAGAATACACACACAAAAACAATCACACACACTCTCACACTTGTGTGTTATGACTTGACTTGAATACGTCTTACACATGTACATGCATCATCATCATCATCATCATCATCATTTTTATCATCATGCACATGTATCTTCTACTTCCTGCACACAAACTCACTCATCAACATTCACACCCACTTACACTCGCATAGCAAACTTACTTGTACTTAACAAAATGCTCAAATACAAAATCGTATCACTTACACTTATCAAAGATATTTCCTCACACACATATACTCACTCATGAAAACATATATAAACATATAGATATAGCATTGTACATCCTAAACACAGAGAGAGAGAGAGAGAGAGAGAGAGAGAGAGAGAGAGAGAGAGAGAGAGAGAGAGAGAGAGAGAGAGAGAGAGAGAGAGAGAGAGAGAGAGAGAGAGAGAGAGAGAGAGAGAGAGAGTTTTAATCATTAGTAAATGAAAATAGCACCAATTTTGTGGAAATTAAATAAATTTATAGCCAGTTTGGTAAAGTCATGGCCATTGGGAACAGACTTAAACTTAACATACATACTGTAGTTATAAAATGGGCATCCATTTTTTCCAATTATTCTCAAATTTTGTTTTCATAATGGTGTTTTTGCGAGAAATGTTGTACTTTTGAATATGGAAATGATCCTTAATCTTATTTATAAGAGCATTTAAATTAAGATATTTTTGTACACATACTGACTTGTAAACATAGTGTTTAATTAAAATTTTGTTATCCAGTGTTAGCATTAGGATGGATAATTCCAAATTCCAAATAAATATGTTTATTTGTTTATCCAGAAAGGAATCAGAAGAATATCAAGAAGAGATTCAAATCTCTCCAATAGAGTCTGTACCTCTATACACTCCCATAGACAGTGAACGATTGTGTCTCTTTCCATATTACATAGTGTACATAAGGAGCTAGGAATTAGATTAATATTTGTCACAATCCGACTTTATTCGGGTAAGTATACGTTTGGGTACGCGCGATACGGTAGGCTTGAGCTTCCATACTAGAGCGTCCACCCGGTTGTGCAATGATAGACGGGGCATGGAAATGCAAATACCATTTAGTTCTTTAGAAGCGTGAAATATCAGTCATGGTAATTATATAAACTATCTTTCAATGTAGTATGTGAATGTTTATAGTTTCTGGGTTGAATGTGACTGTCGAAAGCTTGTTGAAGTGTGTATTACTGAGTTTGTTATTGTTGTTTACCGGGTACGTTCGTGCACGCGCTTGAGCACTGATTACTTCATTTATTACCTGCATACATCTAAATATCGTTAGGGAACGCTTAATTTAATGTTTATATGTATTAGCTTAGGTTTCATTAGTAGTAGTACGAAGTTATAGAGCTATTTTCATATATTGTAGCTTCTGAAGCTGAGATCATATTATCAGGTGGAAAAAGTACGGCAGCCTGGAGATGCCATGGGTATCGTTACATGAACCTTTGTAGTATCAGATCGTACTTTGGTACCGCAAAATATAGATCCTGGTTTCTGTGGGAGAAGGAGTAAACTTATGAGCTTGTTACTCTCGATTGGTGGTACAGGCGGTCAACGACGTCTTATGGTGACCCGGAGGGTTCATTTTATATGCACATATAGACTTTACTGAAGCCATCGGCATGGAAAGATCAGATTCTTGGAGGCAACCGTCAGTACTGGTGTATATGGAGATGTGTGCATTCTGTAGATAGACCTTGACATTGTATAGAACTGATCATTGCTGTTTTTCCATCTGTGATATTTGTCAATTGTGATATGTGACGCTACAGAGACTTTAGGTGTAGAATCGTGTAAATTGTATGGTTTGAAAGCTTAGTGTGAAATCTAATGCTTGTTCGGATGAAATGTGGGCGAGTGAGTGTTATCGTACACAGTAAAAAACACACACACAAGAAGTATTGCAAACTTTGTAACTAGTGTAATATATTTGTAAATATTTATCGTTGCTGTTGTTGTTTATGGCAATTGCTCGGCTAGGATACAATATTGAAAAGAAAGGAGTTCGTATCCAGAATGTGATGTATAATCCTTACTTGGAAAAAAAACCCACTGTAGCTTAGAACTTTTTGTAATAGTAAACGGAATTATTAATATATATTTCCACTTCTGATCATCAGAGTCAAACTCATCACACCATTTTCGAATACCAGTAGGAGTTAGTGCTGGTTTAATAATAGAATTGTAGAAATCTTTGGCACCTTTTTCACTTTTATAAAAAGATTCAAATAGAAGTGGTATAAAAGGCTGAAATAATCGTAATAGATGGAAGTTATGGTTTCTCGATAAACACTTGACGGCTGTAATCAAGCCACGATACTGTATATAGTTGGTCTTAATTGAAAATTTATGAAGAAACTCATCAAAGGAGAAAAATGTCAAATGATCAGAATTTTTGATTAGGTCATTGATGGTATATATACCAGCATTAAACCATACCGGATAGAAGATAAATCTACTGCCCACTTGAATGTAATTATTGTACCAGAAAGGGATTTTTTGTATTGTATCAGAATTGCTTTGCCTCATAAGAAATGAGTTATTCAATCTAACCCAACTTTTAAAAACATCGTTCCAGAATATATTACTACAATTGTTACTACATGACTTGACATACTCCTGTTCGCAATGAAATATTTTTTTTCAATAGAACTTTCCATTTTTTTAGAATGGGTGATTCTTCTAGTCCATCCTAATTTAAGAGAATTGAAGAGAATCCATAGAAGCTCCCGTATCTATCATTTTTAGCGTTAACTGGACAGGTCCAACAATTTGTTCTTTTAGGGTCATTGAGACCATTATGTGTGTCAAGGTTGGATTCAGGCCTCCTCCTTCGACCTATCCAAGTTTAAAGAATGACCTGTATTATCATCTCGTACCTTCTCTTCATTTTTTACAACATGGGCTCTTGTATCTCCCCCCAGCTGAGGACAATTGACCTTAAAATGCCCTTCTTCCCCGCAGTGGAAACAAGCGTTTGCAACAGCCTTCTGTGAAGGTTGTGTTATAGGATCTTGCCTCCTCTGGTAATAAAGGTTGCTCATGAATTTCCTCATAGTTTTCTCCATATCATTAATTTTGCTTTCGAGGCTGTTCACTTTTTTCTCTAAGCTTTCTTTCTTGATGCTGCCTGCCACCTAAGGATTGCGAAATCCCATCTTGTGGATACCAGGAGATGGAGATATCTCAGACTCTTCAGCGACTGAAAATGATGAATTTGGTTTCCGGTCTTGGCCTTAAATGGCTCTTCTGTTGTGCTGAAACCATCTTATTTTATCTAAAACCTCTTGTATCGATTGTGCCTCCTCCATCGCGGTATGTTGGCCAGCCTCTTTGTCCAGTGCTCCCTGACAGATGGTCAATATGGCTTGTTGATACATATACTCATCTGGCAGATCTTTGTATGCCTTTGTGCTAATGGACGGCACCCGGTCCGCCCAGTCAGCCAAGGACTTATCAGGCCACTGTTTTGCTGAACGTAGTATAGCTTGGCTGGTTTCTGGTAGTTCTTTGAAACCAAATCTGCGTTCCAACTTGTTCATTATATCATAGAAATCAATATGTGGCTCCATTTCAATGAACAGCGTGTGAAATTCACTGGCTTTGTCCTCCAGTATGTAACAGAGGTTGTCCCGACACTCCTTTGAAGATCATTTAGCGGTTTCTGCAAATCTTGTGAATTTAGCGAGGATACATTACGGAGTTCCTTTCTTTGTCTGCAAGTCTGGCCCCTATGCCTGGGATGTCCAACATTTCTCCCGTTCACAATAGTTAATCCTAATCACCTTGACAGTTGAAATCCGGTAGCTTGTAAAATTATAAAGGGAATAGGCGATTACACACCACCAGCCACAGTACAATTAACGCCTTTTCCAGTTTGCGATCGTCTTCGTTGATTTGGTTCTCGTCCTCTTTGTTGATCCCGCCAAGTGTTGTCGTCTTTTTATATCCTGACGAAAACCTTGAAGTAGTTTCTGGTACCAAGACTGCTTCACATGTGACTCGGGATTTTTTTCTTTCTTTCCTCTGGAAGTTCGCTTTTTGTGTACTTTCACAATGTACTCGGCCCAATCTACTGTCCAGCATTCATTGATGATGTTATAATTTCTTAATTTACCGTTTAAAATGTTTATAATATTTTTATGGGTTTCTTGGAAAAAGATGTAGTAGGTCTTCAGTATATTCTGGTTTGGATGTACTTTTCTTCCTGAAAATCGGAAGCCGGAGGAATAGTAATGAAACTAATAATGCTGTCTGCACGGACCTTCAGTAAAACATCTTTAAAACTAATGAGTGTGTTGAATATTGAATCTTCTGTTTCCTCTGAAGGTTTAATAACTTTTCCTAATTTAACTCGCTCCAAACACAATGCATCATTTATTCCTAAACAGATTTTGATAAGGGGTATGTGATCTATTGAGATTGATTTCAGTTTATTCAGTTTGATCTTTGACATAATTAAATTTAGCACTTCTTTTAATAATGAAATTGACCTTCAAATCACTGGGTTCAGGATAGTTGTCAAAATTATTGGCCCTTGAATCAGAAATTAATATTGGACAGTAAGAATAGATCAATTTCTAGAATAAAAATAATAAATTGTTGAAAATTTAAACTACAAGTTAATCAAAACAAAGAATCAGCGTTCACACATCATTTTACCACAAAGTATTAAATGTAATGTAAAATTAAACTACAAAGTAATAAATAGAGAAAGAAATGTGAAAAAATAACTTTCCACTTGAAAGTAAGTAAAAGAATTGAATTGCGAAAACAATACGAAAATTTCCACGGGAAGAGCGGTAATACATCACAACCAAACGAAAATTTCACCTAAACTAGCCTGATCTAGATCTAATTTGTATGTAGGAACCCCAATACATACTAGAAATGAAACTGCCAACAAGACTTTTTGAATTTATGGGGGTGTTAAGAAAGTTTTGAACAAATCACGATACAAAGACCACACGGTCCCACCGTGCAAAAAATATGGCGATTGGCACGAGGCTGACTTCAGGCTTCGTCGAGACCAATTTCTCTAAATTCAGAATTTTAGGATTCCTGCCACAGCTCCGTTGCTCGTGACGCCAGTGTTGTGTACATACATCGGTACGTGGTTGCAGTCTCCATTGACCGTCAAATATCCAGAATTTGGTTTGAGATTCTCTCACGTGTAGATTCTGTCAAATCAAGGTAGCAGTAAACAGTTAATTTGCATTTTTCCTGAAATTATTTTTCATGTTTGAGATATACAGGTATAGCAGATTGGTTATGGAAAATACATCATTACATGTATATATATTTATAAACTATATAACAATTACATTAACAGTAGAGAGATGAAATTTGTGTAAAAAAAAATTTTCCTCTGATTTCTGACATTTGATTGTCATGGTTACCAACTGAAAAAATGCTAAAAATGCAAAAATACTGCTAATTCCAACCCAACACTACAACTTTCTAGGAGAAATTTAATTCTAAACACCTATCTTACAATCAACAACACTGTCATGGTAACAAAGTATTTACATTTCAGCAAATTCCAACTCGGAAATTCTTCATAACATGACCACATGTGAACACTACGAAAATGTCACTTCCTGTAAAGCTAGTTTTTGGTGCGTAGACACAGATTCGAGACTGTCCAAATAGTAATTTCCAACACAAAGCTAAAATATTATCCTGAAAAAAATGAAACCCCACATTGTCCACTTTAACATGACAGGACCAATTTTAGCAAGGATTTTTTTTTTTATTTTTAATTAAAACCTTTATAATGGGGTAATCTAATGAGCAAAAAAATCACCCATGGCCACACCGAGAAACTGTGTTCTGCTACCCAAGTCTTCATAACAATTCTCAGAATGAGGCTGTCCTCGGAACGTCGCCCAGACGCTTGCATCCAAACATATATACACATACTATTTATACTACACTATGCAGAAGAAGATAATACTTAAAGATACTTAAAGAGAAGATACAGAGAAGGAGAAGCTGAGTTAAAAGTGTCTGATAGGTCATTAAAAATCAGACCCACCACATAGCACTTCCACAACTTACTTAATAACTACAACTGACTATAAACCTACAGTGCGACCAAAATAGTTTTCATCGCAAGTCAGTCAGCACAATCGGAAATAGAGAACCGGAAACTACGAATAGATTCTAATACGAGAAGGTGACAAGCATAAAATCACCAAGGTCCGGATTAAGTAAGAGTATATATTTCATAGATTTATAAAAAGCTAAATTCCAACAAAAACAATAATTTGTCATTATAAGATGAAAAGTCTTTCCTTCATACCATTTCTTTAGTAATATGAACACTGAATCTTAAATCCGAAAACAAAATTACTGTAGATGCTTTTGTAAACTTCGCTGAAAAGATCAGACTGAAATACATTATCATACAGGATCTGGACTGTAGTCAATTAAAAGTCAGGAAAGACTAACAATTAAGTCATACCCATGATTGCTTATGTCATCTGATTATTATCTATCAAATATTTCTGTCTGATATTGGTCTTTCAAATGTTTCGGTCTGATCATGGTCTATCATATGCTTACATCAACTGATCATTTTCTATCAAATATTTCTGTCTGATGTTGGTCTTTCAAATGTTTCGGTCTGATCATGGTCTATCATATGCTTACATCAACTGATCATTTTCTATCAAATATTTCTGTCTGATGTTGGTCTTTCAAATGTTTCGGTCTGATCATGGTCTATCATATGCTTACATCAACTGATCATTTTCTATCAAATATTTCTGTCTGATGTTGGTCTATCAAATGTTTCAGTCTGATCATGGTCTATCATATGCTTTTGTCATCTGATTATTCTCTATCAAATATTTATGTCTGATATTGGACTATATAATGTTTCTGTCTTTTGATCATGATCTATCAATGTTAATGTCCACTGATCATAATCTATGTGATGTTTCATTTCATGTAGATGATGAATTACATTGGTGACAGTGGAATTCATCAAAATACACACAAATTGATCACCAAAATCTTCTTTTTGTACATCATGAATGGTCAAATTAGTCACAATAAGTCGTTCTGCATTTATGCAAAATATGAAACGATAAACAATACCAAGATTGAATGCAGCAAGAGGCCAAAATGAATTATATACATAGTTCACCTGTTCTGTACATTATGAAAAGATGACTTTGTGGAGAGAGTTTTTTTCATCCAACTATTTTTTCACATTTGACACTTGAGACTATCAATGAAGTCTTTAAAATTGTTTAACAATATTTAAAATGTTACAATGTTATCTTTTAATAAAGTGTTTTGTAATATGGTTATACTGTGACATATTGAGATGGTAAAACAGATATTTTTGGCTTTATAATTATGGCATACTGCTGCAAATTTCAGCGAGTCCCATAGGGCCTATTTTGCTCACCTGGCAAAATATTTCTTCTTCATCGAAGAATGCTTCAGACTAAATTTGGTCATAACGCCATCATTTCTACTGGACAAGTGGGATTTTAAAAAATTGATCTGTTTTCCCTATTTTGCCCTGCCTCTCCTGTGCCAGGGTCCCTAAGGCAACCGTTTATACAAATTGATTTCCTTCACCTAACAATGCTTCAGAACAAATATGAGCAATATCCAATCATTCCTACAGGAGGAGTAGAATTTGTTTTTAAAAATCCCCCTTTTGGACCCCATCCCACAGACTTAAGAGGGTGAAGACCAAGCATTTATAAAAAAGATTGTTTCCATTTTCCATGGAATATTTCTGACAGAATTTTGTCAAAATACTTTCAGTATTTCATGACTAGTGACGAATTTTTGGAAAAACGTTGACGGATTGAGGATGGATGGATGACAGAAAGACAGATGGACAACAGACACCGAGGTATACCAAAAGCTTTCCTGGCACTTTCAGCCAAATGAACTTAAAATCCAACAGGGTTATCTCTCATGGGTTAATCTTGAATTTGGGGAATATTACTCATCATGGAAAAAGGGAAATTTTGAGCCTATTTTGAGAAATAGTGACATTTTGGCTCATGCTATTGTTGCTGACATCAGTTTCAATAAGTTGCTAGATCAATCTGGTCATTGACCTCTTTAACAATCAATCTGGACTAGATATGCAAAGGAAAACATGGAATATTGTGGTTATACTATCTAAAATAGCTTCAATTGACCAATCAAATGTCATCTTACCTCTTAAGTGAATTCAATCAAATTCAGTGCATATGCAAATTATACAGTTATCAAGTCCTAAAGTATAGAAGTCTTTTTTGTTTTAATCTGGAAGCCGAGAAAAACTCTAAGGATTTAGAATTGGAAATCCCAGACAAAGCGTACAGCTTATGGCCTAAGTGCCTATACTTGTAAAGAAAAACTAAATACAAACATGTTGTTTTTTTCACATTGTACCTCGTAACCTGCAGATCTGCTACTTTCATATGGTTAGACCCTCGCCTCAGATACCAGTCAGCGGAGTAAGGTCCGGCACTCTCACAACCATAGTCTGCCACACAAGAATATTTTATAGTAACATCCAGATTTGTTCGCTCTTCTTTCATATTTAGATGAATGAGCACACTTTCCTTTTGGCACAATCTGACATGCAAACAATTGAAAATAACATAATTATTTTCATTGTAAAAGAAAGTTATAACCAGATTGATTATATAAGACTAATGCATTCCTAAATATATACAGTGCAAACCACTTAATGTCATGTTGGTTAATGTCACTTTCCTGTTAATATCACGTTTTCTGGATTTTCCTCCTATATTTTCTATGTAATCCAATGTCTGATAATGTCACTTATTTTCATGTGGGAGACACTTAATATCACTTTTCATTTTCACAACTATTACAAACAAGGGCTATTAAACGCTCGCCGAATGGGTCAAAATTTAAGAATAAAAAAGGGGAATAATACCTAAATTATGGAGCAGAGAGTTATGGTTCCTATACACTGCATTTCTCCTCATCAAGATTGATCTACTTATGAAGTGTTATGTTGATACCTCTTATAGTTTTTGTGCTATGCTTCGGATTTAAATTTAAGTATGAAAAAATAACAAAGAACATAACTACTTCATTATGCAGAAGAGAGTAGTGGTTCTTGTACACAGCACTTCTCATCAAGATCTATCTATCTATGAAGTTTCATCTTGATACCTCTTACAAATTTTGTGCTATGTTCTGGACAAAATTATGACAGACCGACAAAGCGATGGACAGGCAGACAAAGTGGCGACTATATGCTCTCCCTTTGGGAAACCTATAAAAACACAGACAAATTACAGGTAAGTGAGGACAGAAACTATGAATTTATGCCCAATGTGCCAAACATAACACCTGGACATGACCGTAAACATTGTCACTGCTCTACTCACCAACATTTCACACCTAAGGACCTCCGACCAATAGATTTACCTGCTTACCTGTAAGGTCCAGCTCATTGCAGGAAAGTCTTGTGCACATCTTTTTTTTTCATTTGGTTATTGCAATCTTAGTGATAAAATTGGCGACTTTCTTCTGTATTTTATTTTATCAATAAATAGAAGGAAATATTATATGGGAGGCTTGTCACGTGTCATTCAGAGCATTAAGGGTGAAATGTCTAAGGACACAATCATATCCCAGAAGGTCATTCGGTTTCTTAGCTTCATGAGAAACAAATAATCAAAGGCAGGGTTCATCAAACGAGCCACATCAGCTCTTCACATGAACTTTGAAACCTGCCATTTTGCTTATAGACTAAGAATAAACATTTTAATCTGTGTGACTTGCATATGAAAATAGCAATTCCACAGTTACACAGGTAAAAATGGTCATCCTTATAATCTTAACTACAGGGAGTGATTTATGACATCTATGCTGTTGAAGACATGAGATTATAAAGGCTGAATGACCCGTATTCTTTGTTAATTACTGTTACCTACGAAACTAAATGTAAGTCTTGGGGCCTCACTTGATATTGTTTTATAGTTTTAAAAGAAACTCGGAATCTGTAGGTCAATACAAATTTTGATAAATCATGGTTCATTGTTTGATAAAGAGCTCTTATGTTATCTATAAGTATGGAGTATTGTATTTTAAAATGTTTCCTGGTCCACTGGAGTTATCGCCAAAAACAGCAGGATGTCAGAGAAGTGCTTGGACGTTACAAACCGCGATTTTCTTCCGTATTTTATTTTATCAATAGATTGAAGGAAATATTATATGGGTTTTGTCTATCTCACTGAACAACATATGGGAGGCTTGTCACATGTCATTCAGAGCAATAAGGGTGAAATGTTTCAGGACACAATCATATCCTAGCAGGCCATTCGGTTTCTTAGCTTCAGAAGAAACACTAATAATCACAGGCAGGGAGCATCAAACTAGCCACCTCAGATCTTCACATGAGGTTACGTAGGCCAACACTCTGACTGACTGACCTGGCATTGCCCCACATTTGTCTGCTAATGACAAACTTTGAAACATGCCATTTGGCTTATAGACTAAGAATAAACATTTTAATCTGTGTGACTTGCATATGAAGATGGCAATTCCACAGGTACACAGGTAAAAATGGCCATCACTGTAATCATAACTACAGGGACGGCAACGGTACACAAGTAAAAGTTTCCATCCCCGTAATCATAACTACAGGGACGGCAACGGTACACAAGTTAAAATGGCCATCCCTGTAATCATAACTACAGGGACGGCAACGGTACAGAAGTAAAGGTGACCATCTCTGTAATCATAACTACAGGGACGCCAACGGTACGCAAGTAAAGTGGCCATCCCCGTTATCATAACTACAAGGACGGCAACGGTACACAGGTAAAAGTTGCCATCCCCGTCATCATAACTACGGGGAGTGATTTATGACATCTATGCTGTTGAAGACATGAGATTAAAAAGGCTGAATGACCCGTATTCTCTGTTAATTACTGTTACCTACGAAAGTAAATGTAAGTCTTGGGGCCTCACTTGATATTGTTTTATAGTTTTAAAAGAAACTCGGAATCTGTAGGTCAATACAAATTTTGATAAATCATGGTTCATTGTTTGATAAAGAGCTCTTATATTATCTATAAGTATGGAGTATTGTATTTTAAAATGTTTCCTGGTCCACTGGATTTATCGCCAAAAACAGCAGGATCTTAGAGAAGTGCTTGGACGTTACAAACCGCAATTTTCTTCCGTATTTCATTTTATCAATAAATAGAAGGACATATTATATAGGTTTTGTAATCCCTGATATCCAAATAGTAATAATAATAATGATTGAAATATCACCCCTTTGATTGATACTGATGTCCGTACTACAATGAGAAATTTTATATTCCATATGTATTGGGAAAAGTAGTGGCATTTTATTAGAGATTGATTTTAATTTTCAGAGTTGCTGGACAATATTAAATCGAGGAAAATAACGATAATGGTGAATGTAAGTTGTGCTCTATTAGATCTAGATCTATACATAGGTTTAGTTAAAGAAGGTCTTCATGAGCAACAGATTAACACCCGAAACTGTGCGGTAAAACGTAAAGACGCCCCCGTCGTTGGTTCTGGAAAAAAATACCACCTAACTATTAATTTCGCGAATTTTTGTTGCATGCGAGACAATGAAATTGGCAATCTGTCTTAGTCATCAATATGATTCTATTTGAGGAGTCGACAACATCAAGAAGCTGAAATAAGATTGAAAGATTTTCCCGAAGAATGTTTGGAGAAGAATCTGATTTAGTTTTATTTTTTTTTTTAGAATCTGAAATGAAATATGAGATAAAAATTATTACATAACAGGAAACCTAACAACACAACTTATCGAATTGGATCAAGATAAACCCATTTTAATGGCCTATTTAACTCGGTGTGCAGTGTATCTCTGGTATTGGTTTTTCACATTTATCTCGACTTTTTCCACATTTTTATAATCTACTTCTTTAAGCTTTACTTTCTAGGTATAGAAGGACGAAACAGCTGTTAGTTGCATGTGAAAAGCATCTTAGTTCATCATTTGGCTATACTGTATCAAATTCTAGAGTTGTATTGGAATGTGACATCAACGTGTGTGTGTCGTTTGTACAAGGTTCGGAACATTTGAATTTTATTCTGTGAGAATATCTGAAACTTCCCGCTGGAGTTAAACAAGGCTCTCCACTTTCGATCACAAAGGGTTCGTCAGGAGCAGTACACATATTTTCACTCTCCTCTAATAAAGTTATCGACAAAAACACTATGTATACTTATATGCGGGGTTAAATTTGAATTATAATCATTCTATGAGCCTATGGTATACATTAATGTCCGAAATTTTAATCAATCAATCAATTAAGCAATCGATCATTCTTTGGTATATGTTCACAATCTTTAGAAAAAACTTCCCCTTGACATTTTGGAGTATCGTGAAAACAAAAACGTGTGTCACTGATAAAAACAACTGTCAGTGTGTAGATAACATAACGTAAATTAAACGCTTTCCAGATCTAAGAATACAAAAAACGAATGACGTTGAATTCCACGATAGCTAAAGTTTCATTTGGAAATTACCTGTACATTGTCACGAAATTAAATTATTCAAAACTAAAAACAAAACGTCGACAAAGATACCAACATGTCAACACCTTCATAATCCAAACTCAGATTCAATAAAACTAGAGCGAAATATGAGAGAGAAAAAAAGAAAAAATATACAGAGTTTCCTGAAAAAGTACAAGGAGAATAAGATCAGGTGTTCCGGAAAAGTACTTTTTTTCCTCTATCAGTTGTCAAGTGTGTGAGGAGAAGGGTGAAAGTGTGTTTTAAGGTTATGTGTAGTATATGTGAAGTGTGTGTGGATGCATGCAAGGAAAACAGTAGGAAGTGGTCCTTGATAGTCCAGTTATCTCATTGGTCTTCTGCTTTTTTTCAATTATCTGGGTCCTATATAAATATAACACCAAAATATGTTTAATTAAAACGAGAAGCTCGTCTGATTAAACACCACAGAATGGAGAAGCTAAAAATGTTCACAGCAAGTAAGTATATTTGCATATTTTTACGATGATAAATTTGCTTTAACAAATAGTCTTTTCAAGTAGGTAATAAGTGCTGTTTATAGGATATAGCAAATGTATAATATATGTTGTTTGTGTAATAACTTCAACACGTATTTTGGTTTTAAGTGCAATTTTGAATTGATTTCATTGGTATTTGATTAATGGAGGACATTTGGAACTAAAGCAGATGAAAACTAATTAAATATGCTAAATAAAACTGCTAACTATCCAACGTAACATAACCAACCATATTATTTGATAAATAAAACTTAGAAGGAAAGTTATATCGGGGTGAGGTTTTAAAGCAACTAGAAACAGCATCATGTATACAATATGGCGATATAAATAGAACGCTTGTACAATTATTAAGAATAGGTTATGATTGTTCTATATCATAATTCGTAAAAATCGTTTTGACAGATTCAGATGTGCGGAAGTATAAACTTATAAAGGAAAATACAAACATGCGTGATACTCGAATCTTTGCATTAGTCTGAATATGGGGTTTAAAACCTGTCATTTTTCCTCGCAAAAGAGATAAACAGATTTATACTTGAAAACAAAATTATCTATTGACATTATCCTGTTCGATAAAACTACTTCTTTCTAATTCTATTCATATCAAACAGGAAGTAGTTTTGAGACCTGATGATGTATACCATTGTTGTGTCCATATGGTGATTTCGCTTAATAGATGGCTTTATAAACTCTGAAAACCAGGTTTCTTTTTAATTTCAATGAAGGTAAATGAGTTTATTTGACCAGTACAAATACACTGTTTATCCATCACGCAAAGTACCACGGGGATGGTATTGGAAAAGCAATAATTATATACATATCCGAGATTAAATATTATTTGATATGAACTATTAAGCATAATTTAAGATATCCTTATGGCATTTGTTCAAAATTTAGTTTTCCACAATATTACTTGAAAATGGCGAAACTAAAATTTATTGAAACTGATAAGTAGTATTCTAGATAATCCTGGAAAGTTAAAAGCTGTATACACTGGATATATATATATATATGGATACGAAGCAATCAGTAATTTTACTAATAATTAAATTCTTCAACAATTGCAGTTTGTGTGTTGTTGGTTCTGGTGAGTCATGTGCCTACTCAGTGTGCTCGGCCAGAAGATGGCTTTACCAATCCTAAAAACAGCAGAAGAATTCAGAAGTAAGTTGTCTTAAAATGTGAAAATGTTTTCTTCTTAATCATAAACCATATAGCTTTGACTGACGAAGATGAATATTGTTTTAGCAGGTTTACTAATTATTCTTTTCTCAAATTTCATGAATAATTAATATACTCTATCAAACTATTGCACAGGAAAGCACCAGCAAACTGTTGTTTTTGTTTTATGTTTTTTTGTTTATTTTTTTTATTTTTTTTTTTTTTTTTTTTCTATTTTTTTTCCAGCTAAGATTATTTATGTAGCCAGTAAAACAAATCTACCAACGCTCCTTATATACAAAGATATTGTCCATAAAGAGTACAAAAATTAGTTGCAGTCGGTTTGCTTCAGCTTACATGCCACTTTGTAAATTGAAACACAGGTACTTGATATTTTTCTATAATTATCAGGTATATGAACACTTTTACGATATTTATTAAATTATGGGGCTAGTACACGTCTCATTTAAAATGTTCCACATTCGATCACTCAATCCTGCTTCCTCAGTCGCTAGTGAGTCATAGAAGGAAGAAATATGTGAATGATTCAGTTGAATTCATTGTTAAGCTCTGCTGTATCTAATCTGAATTTGGTTTAAAAAGTTTATTTACTTGTTTATCTTTTGGAAATTCTTTGAGAATTCGCTTACTCTTCCGGAACACCTGGTCTTATTCTCCTTTCACTTTTTCAGGAATCTCCGTTTAAATTTCATTTGTTCATATTTTGCCATAGCTTTATTGAATCTGAGTTTGGATTATAATTATGTTGATATGTTGGTATCTTATATTTTCTTTTTATCACTCAAAATGATATTTATACCTGCGTTTGATTAGTCTATATTTGTCATTGCAGGCGCTATAGTGACGAAGATTATATATCTGCCTATCAGAATATTAGAAAAGGTATCCCCAACGATGTGTTGCTTAGGAATGGTGGAAAAGGTATCCCCAACGATGTGCTGCTTAGGAATGGTGGAAAAGGTATCCCCAAAGATGTGCTGCTTAGGAATGGTGGAAATGGTATCCTGAAATTGGACTCTTTTCTAGATCTGCTCCTTGCAGTCATAGCCTGGGCGATCTCGAATAAATACGAATTTTGAGTACGTTCTCACTGGAGCACAGACTTGTGCATGAGCACAAAAGTTGAGTTTGAGCAGGAGAATGGTCTTACAACTGGGAATCTAATAACAAACCGTTTTAAATTTTTGAGAGGCAGAATATTACTATTATATTATTACGTATGTTTTTAAAGTGAAATTTGTAGTTATTAAAATTTGGTCGATATCTTTTAATTTTTTATAATATTTTTTTTATAATATTTTAAATAATTGACGGTAGTTATAAAAACACAATTAAGAATTCATTAAAAAAATTAAAAAGGAAAAAAAGGCGGTGTTATCATGTCTATAGACAATATTTCATTAATTAAGGATGTTCTCTACTAATAATGTTTTGACTGGAAAACATAATTCAATATATAATTAATTCCAACACATAGGACTTTTACTTTATATATACTTTGTCATCTATAACTGCCCTCACAACTTGAACACTAGCGGTTCATATCACGTTATGAAGACATTTCGCCTGACGGTGTAGTTGACGGCGTGATTTAGTTAAAAGCATCAGCAATTTCAGAGATTTGTGGTCAGCTAAAGTAATTCTCTTCAGTATTACTTTGGAACTATTGGGTAGATTTCGTCTAAATTTTGCATGAGTTATCGTCACAAATCACAGATTTCAAATTCGTGAATTCCAATTGGTTACCACTTTCTTTAATTTTTGATTATCGGAAAATAAAAATTTCGGGTGATTTCTTGATCTTGGTAAAATAACTGATTAATGGCCTTTTAAAACATTTTCATTTTTTGGTTGCGTTGCAGCTTAAAGTGAAATTTGTTTCTAAATATCCAAGTATCATAGCGTTAATTTGTAATGAAAGACTAAAATTTATTTTTAAGAAAGTTGCCGCGAAATCTGTATCTGTTATTCAGGATGAAAATAAGTATAATATGAGGAAATTAACTATTTCCTGTTACACATATTCTGACACCTGTATCGGAAAAAGAAGCACAGCAACATATTGATTGTTTACCTTTTAATCAACTTTGTGGGATAAAACGTTTCAAAGAATCATCATGAAAAAATAAGTTTCATGTTGGATCTTTTTTACTTCTCAGGAGTACATCCTAAAATATGTTAAATGATTTTTTGAGGAAAAACTATTAACATGAAATTAATTGAAAACGAAATGTGCATAGTATTGAAATGGGGGGAGATATGGTCACTGTCTATTTCATCTTCGTATACACAGAAAGTTCAATGTAAGTGTGTAAGGACTTAAAAGATTATTTTTAGCGTTTCTTAATAATATTGTATGAACGTTTTCAAGATGTTAACAATTGGCTTCATAGCAACTGTATACTCCATCTGTTACAAGGAATACGCCGTATAAGTTTCCCACTTTAACCAGCAAGTAAAAAATCCGAGAACAGCCATAATAAAACGGCTCCTCTTGTCATCATATATAGCAATTGTATGAATGAGTACAGTCACAAATTTAGCTTGATTATTGGTATAAAAGTCTACACTCTCGCAATTTTAAAAATAATTTCATTATTTTAAAATGTAGTTTTGATTTGTTTGAAATAAAAAATTGTACATGGATATTTTGATAAAAAGCGATGTGGTTCTCATTCAGACGATGCGTCTAGTATTACTTATGTTCTCGTGTTGTGGAATGGGTTTATACACTTTTCAGAATAGAATAACCACGGAAATTATAAATGGAAGTCGGTCCTGTCAGTAACTGACGACATTTCGTTTGTAATGGATTCTACATTTATAATTTGGACTGTCAGATCAACGTCGACTGTCGCAGACGAAATTGACAAACTTGGTAATCAAGAATGTTATGACGATAATAATGGTTTTGCGGCAAAATTACATGTTGGCCAATATATCTGTTCTTTAATCTCTTTTTATATTTCCTTTTTTCGAAGGCCTTAAGCCCAACATCTTCGTAAATGTCAGTACACAGTATACTGGTACCAAAGTGAAAGTGACCGGCAGCCAGTTTTGTTCACCTAGGAGTCATCTATTTTATTCATCTAATTTTTTAATCTCAACAGCGACCGAATCAGTGTAAATTGTAGTATACCATTTCATATACTACAATTGGGCTTATTAATGATATATAGACGAATGCAACACACAATGTTAATATTGCATGTATAATGATTAATTTGGTGGACGTCTCACCTTGACTACGAATGTTCATTTATACGCTTGATCATCATACTAATGGATATTCTTTGACAGACTTTAGTATGCGGTATATTTGCATATGAATGTAATCTTCACACTGGGCATCTGTCTCATGTGTGAGAGATATAAACTTGCCTCTCTTTGTTGTCAGATCACAAGTCTCTATCAATATGTATAATGTGACATTACCGTACTGATCTACCTTACGAGCAGGTTTACGCTTGATCCATTTCCAAGTTTGGATAAAAGTCGCTCCAGGCCAGTATTTTAAATCAATATCAAAACCAAATTTGGTAATAAGATCTACAGTCTTGTGCAAAGAGAAACCTTTACTGCTGGTAACAATAATGGACTTACTGGAGCATTGACAGGTTTCTCAAGAAATTTATTTCATCTACTTAAACTCATTGATCTAATGATATAATCTCTACAATGAAAATACAACCTGTAAACAATATTATTTCATACTAACATGGAGACTATTGGGAGCATGTAGTCAGGTGCTATCCCCTAAACAGGAATCAATGACTAATCAATGAGAATGATATACATTACATTCTGTGCAAAGGATACTGGGGAAGTGCCAGGAGGGTTTACATGAAACTTAAAATAGTACACAGAACATTCAGATGATGATGATGCCGATGGTGATTATAATAAGGATGCAGTGAGGTGTCAACTGATGACGATGATAGGAAAATGGACGGGAATGATGAAGATCCTTCTGTCCCTGGCATGGAAAATAAAATATATAATAAGAAACTCATTTTAACAGTCACACTCATCCCCATAGTTATCTCTCGATCATGATACATGTACCTGAAGATAATATTAAAGTTCAATATGTTCAAGATCGAGTTTCTGACAGATCAGGACGATTCGTCCCAGTCACAAATCAGAAAGGTTACACGCCTACTCGACATTTTCTGAAATAACAATCAGAAAAGCATCTTACTGCACTAAGTCTGGTTTAATTCTTACTGACAGGACGTGTTGCAGCGTCCCTCATACCCGAAGTACCAAACACTACAGTCGCATTCCCTTTCAATCCATGCCGGTTCCTCGCACTGGCTCTGCGGCAACCGTCACATCCTCTCTACAGGGTAGACCTAACTCCCGTCAGGTACATAGAGTTTGGACAGGCAGCGGAAAGAATCTGGCTTCAACACGTTGGGTGATTACTGTAGCGTAGGTTCATAAGACATCACATCGCAGTTCAGTGTTTTAAAATGCGTTTATTTCATTGTCGTAGACAGATAAACCAGGAACTTCCAGAGTAAGGAATTTGCGATGATGACTGGAATATGTCTCTCGATGTGTAACCATCGAGAGACAAAGTAAGAGCGAAGCGGGGAAAGGGCGGTGCTTGGAACATGGACGAGTGGTCCGTGTGGCACGCGGACATACATACCTACGTACATTCTTGCATACATTCTAATCACATTCCAAACACTGGCGTGACACGCGATAATTTGAATGTGTAGTTATAGTACAGTAGTACTGTATATGAACACCTGGCTACACATAAAAGAAATACAAAATTTGGATTCAGAACGCTCAAAAAGTCTTCATCAAATATGGCGGCTTTCGCAGTCTGTGATACGCTACTTGCTAACTATCAAAACTCATACAAAATCAGAAATTCTGTCATATGAGCAACCGATAAAACTGTGTGCAAGGAAAAACTAGTTTCAGTATAACTATCTAACACACGTTACCATGGCAACGGAATCTCAATATTGCATGCTTTATCTAGAGAAGTGTTATATGGATTATATGTCATTCAACAGCTTTATCATTTAATGCTGTTTCTGCAAGATAAGTACAAATCAAGTATGACGAGGATTAGAAGCACGCATTGTTTGTAAAATTAGGACACATGAGGAAATATCACTTTTAACACAGAAGAGTTAGCATAATAAAAATATATCTATTGCAGCCAAATCTGTATTTTCATATCTGATTAAAACTACAGTTAATTGTTCCATTTATATCAAATTTGATACAAATTTTGTTCAAGTTCTCTACGCGATTTGCAAACATCTGCCAGACCCTTTACCAATACATTTGAAACCAGTTATCTGCCTGTTCTGTCCTCCAAATATGAAGACCTTTTTTGCAAAATACTTGTGGATCAAACAATTTCAATTATATTATTAATCTTAATAATACCATAGATACTGGTAAAATAAATTGGTTAAAACAATTCTTGTGTGATGTAAGAAAATTGCATAAAATTTATACAATCTGTATAAAGTCACAAAGAATATAAAATTTCATTGGTTTCAATTTCGAATATCACACCACATTCTTAGGAGAAATGATGAACTATTTAAAGTAGGCTTATTTACTGTGTTCATTGCAGAAAGAGAAACTATACATCCCTTAATGTGGGAATGTCAGGAAGTACAAAACCTGCTACAAAGTCTAGAAACACTCCTGGATCATCTTTATATTATCCTGTCAATCAACAATTAATCGCTCCTATTCTGGTTTATAAATGACAGCTGTCTTATTTTTACTGTTGACAATATAATAATTCAGTAATATTCCAATGCCTAATGATATTTAGTATCAGCATGTGTTTGTAGTGTATATGAATCGTGGAGACTATTTAAACCATAACCAGGTTGCCCCTGAAACTATTCCAAGATAGTCTCAATGTATAAAGGGAGATAACTATCATTAATTTGTTGTTATAAAATCATGTTTTAAAAAAAGTCAGATAAAGATAATTATCTTTAAAAATGGCTTTAACTGTCTGGGTATGAAAACGTAGAAATTCTACAACAAATACCGAATATAGGTTGTAGAATTTCTACGTTTATATAACTACCCAACAAGATGTGCAAATCTTCCTCGAGTAAACAGGCAATATTGATAATCAGGTTTTTATATTCTGTGTACAACGCCTGAAAATTAATTCTTTAATGTCCCGTAAATTCCTCATAAATCAGAGCGAAAGATATAATGCTGCAACTATCCAAATGACGCCAGATAGACAGCTTAAGGCAGTACTTTTATCGGCTGTGGAG